TTTTTGGCAACGTTTATTTATTTTTGGGACAGAGAGAGACAGAGCATGAACAGGGGAGGGTCAGAGAGAGAGGGAGACACAGAATCGGAAACAGGCTCCAGGCTCTGAGCCATCAGCCCAGAGCCTGACGCGGGGCTCGAACTCACGGACCACGAGATCGTGACCTGGCTGAAGTCGGACGCTTAACCGACTGCGCCACCCAGGCGCCCCTCTGCCCTTGGTTTCTAGGGTATCTTTGTATCCTTGTAATAAATTACTCTTCTGACTTTAGAGAATTGTCTTTTTCAGTGTCATTAATTAATAAAAACCTTACATGGGGTTAGAGGAGCTTAGACCCCATAACATGTGTGAAACATTATTTCAATAATATTTAACACCTACTTCAAGTCACGCATTCGCAAGGGTGCTGGGGATTTAAAGTCAGTGTCTGCCCTTTTATATAGTGCAGTTCCTAGCATGGGTTTTAGATTGTGAGACAAGTGCTTTAAATATTAACTTGCTTTTAGAACCTCATCATATAGGGGTATTTCCACCCCAGGCATAACTCCTCACTGGTCCAGCCTGAGTCAGGGACCCATCTCCGAAACAGTCAACTGTGCTCACACTTAGTGTCTTGTAAGAACATCGATTCTTCCACAATAAGCATGTATGTGGGGATGGTGGTGATGACGAGTGTCTGTGTGTATAAGAGAGCATGAAGTTCCCAGAGGAAAGGAAAAAAAGTGACTGCTGGTAAGACCATCATATCGGTCTCTGTTGCATACCTCCAAAACATTTCTAGAACTTCTTCCAAGTTTACTCCAGACTGGAATGACAGGAAAACTTGGAAAGAGTGGTCGGGGAAAAAAGCATGAGCTCAGAGGGAAAATTAGTACCAGCATTCATTTTATTAAAACAGAATATTTCCGGGGTGACTGAGTGGCTCAGTCGGTTAAGTATCAGTTCAGGTCTTGATTTCAGCTCAGTTCGTGATCTCATGGTTTGGTTAGAGAGATCAGAAATTGAGCCCCTTGTAGGCTCTACCCTTTGCCCCATCAAAATAAATACACTTAAAAAAAACCACAACAACACAATTTGTCATGAAAATTTAAGTAGAAATTAAAGGTTTTTTTCTTTACCTTTTAACAGAAAATAACATTAAATATTCTCCTGGATAGTAAATCTTTAAAACAATTATCTTTAATTCTTTATCTATATACCGATATATAATTCTAAATGCACAAATATAATCATAGTTGTACATACACACGTATATTTCTACATATTCTTTTGTGGAGGTGATCTTGGCTACCCTTTCTCTCTCCCTTCCGTTGTTAAATATACCTCCCAACCCATACCTGGCCACAAAGCAAATGACACATTAGCCTCTTCTGTATCCTCTCATATGTACACATGCATATGCAGGTTTTTTATTAATGCTTGTTAGAAAATGAGATTTTGCTTTTCTCACTCAATAGTACTAATACAAATTCTCCTAAGTCAACTGATACAGTTCTATTTTATTCTTTTTAATGGCTTCATAATATCACATAGGTGGATGTTGCATCATATTTTCAGTCATTTCTTTTTTTCTAATTTTTTCTTAATGTTTACTTTTAACACAGAGGGAGAGAGAGACGGAGACAGGGACAGAGACAGAGAGAGACAGGCGTGAGCCAGGGAGGGGCAGAGAGAGAGAGGGAGACACAGAATCTGAAGCAGGCTCCAGGCTCCGAGCTGTCACCACAGCCCCCAACACGGGGCTCAAACTAACAGTGAGATCATGACCTGAGCCGAAGTCGGAAGCTTAACCAACTGAGCCACCCAGGCGCCTCCCCCTTTTTTTAATGTTTGTTTATTTCTGAGAGAGAGGCAGAGTGTATGCGTGGGTGGGGGAGGGGCCGAGACAGAGGAGGACGGAGGATCAGAAGCATGTCTCTGTGCTGACAGCACAGAGCCCAATGCAGGGTTCCAACCCACGAACCGCGAGATGGTGACCTGAGCCGAGTCAGACACTGAACCGACTGAGCCGCCCAGGTGCCCCTCGGTCATTTCTTACTGAGTGTGCCGTTGCCAGTTTTGCCACAACGAACATCGTAGCAATAAAAATGCTTACGTGTAAGTCCGTCCATACTAGTGCTGCTGTGTCTATTGCAGTGACTTCCCCGGAGTGAATGCAGTGAGTCTGTGTGTTGGTTCCCTCCTGATGTGGCATCTTCCTGTTCATAACAGACAGCTGCTCCCATGGCAGTCCAATGCTGTGACATGATTTGAGATATTGGTGCTGGAATTTCCACTGAATATCTGTTTTGTCTTCCCTATCAGTGTGTTTGTGAGCAAACTGCAGACGCTTTGCAAGGAGGCCTTTTTTCTCTGAGCCAATCTCAAGAGGATTATGTTGTCTACAACTAAAAATCCTGGCTGAACCAATGGACTGTGGTGAATTTTAAGAAGACACTGCACGTATTCAAGATGACAACACTCTGCTGTCCTTGGCAGAGAAACAGCCTTTCAGTTGCTTTTCTAGAAAAGACACAAGATGAGTACAAATCTATTAATTTGTTAATGTTGCGTGTCTTATATTTCAACTGGAAAGAACTGTTCGGTTTTCACCAATGCTACTGGGCACTGGATAACCCAACTCCATGGAGCTCCCCCTCTTCCTCTCAGACAGAGATGCCAGACTTTCTTCATTCCTCCCCTGGTCTGCAACCAGATAGACTGATCTCCCTGTGTTGGTTGATTGCTTTTGCAGACGAATGAAGAAGAGAAGTCAATGTGTTTTTAAAACTCCATATAAGGCTGATCTCATTCAACAACCAGAGAGATTTGTTTGAATGCATCTGGCACCCCCATCTACCCCTTTTTAGAATTTTTCCTGAAACTTTCACACTTAAAAAATAATCATTTGAGGCTGGGAATAAAAAAAAACAAAAAACAAAAAACAAGTCAAACGGTGCATCTGTTTAAATCATTTATTTCAACACAGGCATTGTTTTAAATTTGCACCTTGTCTTGTGAACACTTTTCATGTCTAGAGAAAACGACTGAGAACAGGTACATAAAAGGATTCTTTGACATTTTAACATTTTAATAAAAGTGCTTAAGGCTTGCTTGCTTCAGAAACACAGGTGTGCCAATCACAGACAGCCCCTAAGTGGTAATACATTCACAAACTTGCTTGGAAAGTAACATATTTACATGTTTACCCCGTACATTTAAACGGGATATTCTAAAGCATTATCACTACCGTTAACAATAAACTTAGCAATAAGTCCGCTTCAACCTTCTAGCGTTCCACAGAGAATAGTGCCCTTATGGAGGTGCGAGTTTCTCAATTTTAGTACAGGCACCCATTTACCTTCTATGCAAAGTTGCTTTTATTCACTTTCTATCAGTCAAAACCTTGTTAGTAGCAGTTGGGAGTTTGATAAGCATCATTGTATTTACAACGTAAAGGGGTAAATTATTTAGAAGGAGGTCTCTAAAAACGGAAACAACCTCACGAAGCCCTATTTTAAATAACTTTACAGGGTACAGTTGAAGTACATTATCTAAACAAGTTAATTTAAAGGTACTTCTTAGAACAGATTCCCTCATGATTTACTCCATTTACGTGAATGTTTATTTTAATAATGATTGTATCCTTGAGAAAACAAGTCAGGGGTATAAAAATGACGATTATAAATTACTATAGCTATACCAAAAATGAATATTAAAAAGCAGCAGTCTGTATGTTAAAATACATAGAAATTGGCTGTACTTCTTTAACGAAGTGTTTTTATAAAAGTATAAAACCACAGAAGGTGCTATTTGTGTGAATTTTCGGATTTCTTGATTCTTGAGCCAGACCAACAGGCAAATAGTGCAATAGTGGTCATCAATTAATTACCTTCGAATTCAAATAGTAGATTCTAGTGCAGGGAAGTAGGACCTCGGGGTAGCTGTTCATCCTCACCTTAACTGACGGTTGCTATAGCCTAAACTCAGTGAAAAATAAGGTAACTTCATCTGACCTTTTGTAACATACATGTAAACTCAGAGTATTTACTGAAATAGAGCTTGCAAGCCGATCATTTTTCAAAAACTGAGAAGCTTAATATTAAAATATTAACTCTGAATATCTTAAAAACTACATGGAAAACTTAAGTTATGGTTTATGAAAATTTCACTTAAATAATCAGATAAATACAAAAAGGGGAAAGGCAGAATTTACAAACATAAAAAAAAGGGATAGAATGTTATTTGCTCTTTACCATACAAATTCAAATATTCGGAACAGTTGATTTAAAATGCTACGATTAGTCTCTTTGAGCTTGGTATTGGTGGGAGCCTGAACTTTAGAACAATTTACAGACTCAGGGAATAGCTTTCATGTTAGTTACCACATGTTTACTGGTTTTGAGAGTCCTGGAAATGATGTAAACTAGCTGTGGCATTTTGCTTCCGGGCAAAGCAATGGTTACGAGGATAATAATAATATAGCTCTTTCTTGCATTTCCATCAGTTCCAGATCTCGGTTTGCTTCACCAGCACTACCATTATCCTTAATTTACATGGATGAAACAGACTAGGTGAGAACAATGGAGAATAAAGTTAGGCCAGGAAGCAAATATAAACCAATCAAAATGAAAACCACTCCCATTGACCCTCATAGTATGAAAATCCCGGATGGCATTGCTTTCTGTAGTTCTAGTCAATTATCTTCACTGCCATCTACTGGTGTTGATCCTGTTAGGAGAGAAAGTTCCAGAAGTTCTGCCTGGCAACTACAGAGTTAGAAATCAAGTTATCCGTGAGTATGAGACGTATTTAGCCTAGATAAATTATTCAGAGAATCCTAGCGACAAGCCCTTAGAAGCTCTGCCTTATCATTCCCCATGGGTTTGGTAAATGATCCTGCAAAGAAGACTGAATCCCAGGGCATCTGATCTGACTCAGCAGCATTTGAGGGGTTTGGCCAGTGCTCCCGCTGGATATTCATGACAAGAACATGCACAGGAAAAAAAAAAAAAAGTGTTCTATCCTGCAAATAAAAATAGAGAAATGGATTGTCCTGGAGAAATGAGAAAAACCAGGTGAGGAGAAAGCTGCAGTGAGGATAAGCCAGTCTCATGACAGACGTCCACGTACCTACCTGCAGGCCCAGTCATGCTCCCCTCCTAAGCACGGTCTGTGGCCAAGCCACCTTCTGCACCAGCGTGTTGCCTAGTCTGAGTCTCATCGACTAGATTAAAATTCAGCCCTTAGGGATGCCTGGGTGGCTCAGTGGGTTAAGCGTCCAAGCTTAAGCGGCTCAGGCAGTGATCTCATGGTGCCTAAGGTGGAGCCCTGCATCAGGCTGTGGGCTGACAGCTCAGAGCCTGGAGCCTGCTTCAGATTCTTTGTCTCTCTCTCTCTGCCCCTCTCCCGCTTGCACTCTCTCTCTCAAAAATAAATAAACGTTAAAAAAAAAATTTTTTTTTTAATTCAGTCCTTAACAAGTCACCCAGACCGTACCAATGTCTTCAAAGGTATTGCCAGGAGTACTCATATTTTTTGGTTTGAAAGGGATTCAGCTCCTCTTCTGTAACCTCAACAAATACATCAAACATCTGCTCCCTGGCTTCACTATGGATATAACACCATGCCCTTGTGAAAATTTCCTTATGTTTGTTTGAAAGAAAGAAAAAAAAAACCCTAATCCTTCTAAATGCTGATGAGTCAAACAGGATGCTAATATTTACTCCATTGTCATCATCCCTACATTTTTTTTAATGTCCTGAATATAGGGCATGGATTGGAAGAGGCCATACAGAATTTTCTGGTTGTTCTGGGTAATTAATAAGTTTTGTGTACGCCTGGGACACTAGGGTTGTAAATGACAGTGAAAGGTATAAAAAAAAGTTAGGGAGAGAGTAAAGCAGAAAGCCAAAATTGGATAGTGAATTAGAGATGAAGTGGAGGGAGGGGAGAAAGGCTAAGAATATATATAATATATTATTATTATATATATAAAGAAAACAAGAATTCATTTGTTCTAGAATTTAGGAAGCATATAATGCTTATATATGTTTATATATTATAGAGTGGGGGGAGAAAAAGAGAATCTGGGTAGTTTCAGAGCAGGTGCTGCCCACACTAGATCTTTTTTATATGTGTCCTTCTCAAGGGCATACACATGTACACTTGATTTCCATTACAAACTTTTGGTGGAAAGGTTATACGCATGTTACCGAAGAAGCCTCACAGTTCTGACTCTTTGTCATTTTCATCCAGATAGTATTCATCATCCGTGGTTGTGTCCGTGTCACAATCTGAGTCTACTGGAGTCTTTTCATAGATACAAAGTGGTGCGCCTGGAGATAAGGCATCTTCCGGCATCTGGCCGCTCGGAGAATCTGAGCTTGGTAGCTCTGTTGGCTGAGGATGGTTAATTACATCATCTTTCAGGAAGCCGGGGTTCTTAAGAAAACTTGGTTTCCATAATCTTCCTTGTGTGAGTGACCTCTTTACATTCTCCAAGAAAGCCAACTGTTGTTCTTTCCCAAAAATTCCATAGTCAATAGGTCTAGATATAGATGTTGCAAACTTGGGCCCCATTTTTGTTCTGCCGCCACCCAAAGTCCGGTTTTCATTTCCATCACAGGAGGAAAGCTCAGAAAAGGATCTGAATCTTCGACTGTATCCGCTGTTGCCAGAGAATTCATCCCCGAGGGTCAGTTCACTCAGGGCATTGTCAATAGAAGTGCTCTCAGAAAAATGGCGCCCCCTGACCTTTGGAGGATGACTTTTGCGTACCAGATCACCGTGCACATTGATGCTTTTTAAACTGTTTGAACGATAGGGGAGCAGTTCAGGTCCCCACTCCAGAGATGAAGCACTTCTTTGTTGTTGCTGATAACTGGCCATTGGAATGCTTACTCTAGATTTCTCTGTAGGCTCCAAAGGAAAAGGAGGGTTTATTCTTCTCTGATGGTCAGAGAAGTCTGCTTCCCCGAGGTTGGGGAATGTGGGTTGGGCCAAAGTTCTTGACTCTCTTTCCAAAGTCTGAGCTGCTGTTACATCTTTAGACTTCTCATACTTTGGTGATGATTCTGAGATATTTTTAGACCCATTCCGCTGTAGCTGTGAAATGCTGTTAGACTTCGGATTGCTTAAGTGTGTAGAAGCTTCTCTACTGGGTATTACAGTAACCTGGAGAGAGTTCTCTGACTTTTCCACATCCGTTATATCGCAACTCAACCTGCTTTCATTTCTGGACTCTATGGACTTTGGAGTAGGCTCAGGGGACGGCAGGTTGCACTCGGCCGTGCCAAGAGATAAGCTGCCAAAGCCAGAACTGTTCCCACTTTGGGGGAAGATAGTAGCTACGTGTCTTCTGGGGCTTAAATCTTTAACTAGGAATTTTCTGCTTGCTTTGGACATGGCTGCCAATTTGTGTTTAACTACGGATCTGTTTTTCCCTTTTTCTGGGTCATCCAAGCTGGTTTTCTGTTTACTGCTTCCTCCAGGAAATGAAGGTTGATCCCATGCCAACTTTAGCATTTCATCTTCAGCCTTGCTGTTCTCTGTCATGCTTATCTCCTGACTCCTTGGAGGTAGCTCTCTGGGTTCAGACTGCAAACTGTCTAAATCTGGTTCACCTGAACAAGTCCCTTCAAAAAGCTGTAGTTTATGCAAAGCTGGAGTAAGAGCAAAGACTTGGCTTTCCAAGTCAGAAAGTGGTTTACTAGTCTCTTTTTGGAAATCTGTTCCAATTTCCCCTCTTACTTGACTAGGCTGCAATCCATTGGAACTACCGTCCACGATCTCTCTCGGAAGGCCTTCTCCAGTTCCAGGAGCTGTGATGGCTATCCTAGTACCTACACATTCCCCGGAACTTCTTCCATTTTGGGAACTTCCAACATTCTCTTCTGAATGGGCTGGGAGATTAGAAGGACCACTGTTGCCCGATTTACTGGATTGCTGACAGTTTTCAGCTTTCTCTTCTGTACCTTTTTTTTCCTGAAGCATTGATGAAGGAGGCAGAGTTTCGCTTTGCAATCTTTTCCCTCTCTCTTTTCTGCTCTCTGAATCACCTAGGGGTGTTTTAGCGAAGTTATCTGGGGAAATCTCTCCAGTTTTAGATTCTCCTTTATGAAGAGAAACACGTGCCTCAGTAGAATCCACTTCCTTTAATGTTGGTTCTGAGGGCCAAATGCTTGGTAATTGTGAAGCGGTCATATTTTCACTGGTGCGAGAAAGACAGTGGGTCTTCTCCTGAGCAGAGGTGACCAGCATCTTTAGACCTTCAGATGAAGGTGTTCCTGACTGCTCTTGGGTAGAATAATTTAGCTTTTCTTTTTCAAAAGCATTGGGAAAGGTTTCAGTCTCCACTTTAGTTGATTCCGTAAGTGAATCGATATATCGTGTATACTTTTCAAGAATGTTAGAGAATTTTTTGCTGTATTTCCTTGGTAGAGTGTAATATACTGAAACCACCTCAAGACATTTTACATTATCTTCATCGCCAGAAACAGAAAACGTACTAGTGGTCTTAAATTTACGTAACGTTTTCCCACTTTCTTTTCTTGACGCGTCTGAAGAGAAAGGCAGAGGGTCTTCGTTTGAAAGGGAAAATAGGCCTGTCCCGGAGGCAGCAATTTTACCATCCTTTTCAGTGCATTCTGGAAAGTATTCCTTTTGGTGGTGTCTTTTTGGCCAAGACAAATCGCTAACAGGTGAATTATTTTCCAGAGGGCTAATGATCGCCTCCCAAGGTTTTAGTGTTACAGCAGAAGCATCTGTGTTTGAGACCAAGCATTCTTCTCTTTTGTCTCTCCCATCTGAGGCATCTGGTACCCCTGACGGACACGACACGGCCCTCTTGATGAGGAACGGAAGCGGTCCTTTTCTAACAGAAGCAAACCCAATGTTTTTCAGGCTTGTCGCCTTCTCTGTGACTTCAGGTGCTACTGGGACCGAGTCTGACACTGTTTTGGAACATGTGCTTTCTGACTCAGAAGAACTGGGACCGAATTTGTTCAATGTATACTTCCCTGCTGGGTGTTCCACATTATTTTTGACTTGGAATGGAAGTGGTTCATTCCTACACGGAGAAGCCATTATCTTACTTTCCGACTTCCGGTTATTGATGAGAAATCTGGCTGATTTTGTTGGTGAGGTGCAGGAAGTCGTGTGAACTTCAGGAGGCTTGGAATTGCTTTGATTCATCTCCACGGGGCTACTGTTATCACTGGTGGGTGCTGATCTACTTTCCATTTTGCTTAACTTCTCCAGAGAGGCTATGCGTCGCCTCACTTTTCCTTTTCCTTTCCCATCCTTGAAAGGAGAGTGAGAACGCCATTTGGCAACATCAACTTCCTCATTGTGTACAAGTACACACTCATCGTTACGCTTTGGGTTTTCTGAGCGGCTTAGGGCAAACTGATCACTTTGGTCCTTGCTATCATTGTCCTTTTGTGCTCTTTCTCCCGGAGATGGATCCTTGCCCGAAGGACTTTTCCTGGAGAACACTGTTGTTGAAGGAATCGCCGGAGTGTCAAGGAAAGAATTATTCGATGGTGAGGAGCCAGGTAGTATACCCGATGACAGGTCTGAAGAATCGCGTGGGATCTTACGACGAGCAGCTGGTTTGCTACAGTTGGCGGAAGGACTTGTGGTACCTTGTTCTTCCTTGGTATCTGAAACAGCAGGCTTTTCTGCAGACTGTGCCTTTTGACCATCAGCAGGTTCAGAGCTCCAGTGGTTATTTTTAATAATGCCTGAAATAGCTTCAGTACTTGCTCTTACTTCCTGGTGACAACCTTGATCTGGGCTGGGCCAAGACGCTGTTGTGCGTTCCTGAATGAAAGCAAGGGAAGTTGCTGAGCCAAGTTTTCTGTCCCCTGTGTGATTCTTATCTTTTTTAAGTTCATTGGATCGCTCTCTGTGTGATATATGAATTTTGGGGCTCTCTTTCCTAGAAATGACTCCAGGTGACCTCTTTGAACTTACTGTGGTAGATGCATTAAAAGCAAACCCTTTGCCCTTGGCTGACTCCTGGGAGAGGGGATTTTGAACGTCAGAGGCATGGTTAGAGGTTACTGTCTGTGAGACCGGTTGGGGGACTTCACTTGTCATGTGTGTCCGGTCCATCTTGTGTAGTTGTTTGTCTTCTTCCCAAAGAGATTCCTTCAAGACTTTCTCCTTAGTCACTTGTGTGACCAAGATACTGGGTGGGCTTTCAGTAAGAGGTGGAGAATCGACCGAATCGCTCTTGGTCGCAGTGACTTCCGTATAGCTTTTTATTGGCAGAGAGGCGGGCTTAATTTTGTGCACAGCAACTGTGGGATTCTGAAAGCTGGGCCTCTGAGGGTTCCCTCTGTCGTCGGGAATCGGGGGGAAGGAGGTGTTGAATGAGGATGCTAGAGTCGTCTGAGTATTTCCAAACGAGTAAGGTTCTTTGTCCAGGTGTACTTCTGTAGGAGGACCGCCCTGTTGGCATACTGACCTGCCAGATGTGCTGTGATAGCTGGGACCAGTCCCAGGGCAAACGTTTGGCATGCTGAAATGAGTCGTCTGGCTCTCACTGCCTCGCGACACCTCCGTGCTCTCCAGCGTGGTTGTCTGAGAGTCAAACTGCCAGAGATGTGGCTCTTCATGATCTCTGAAAATATTTGTTTTGTAACCAGGAGAAAATGATCCCCAGTGTTGAGAATGAATGCTATGGCTGTGACCAGCTGATACTTCCATGGATATCATTTCAGAATCTCTGTGAGAAGTGAATGGATGCCTACTTTGAGGGAAGTCAGACCAGAAAGAATGTTCTTCGCGTTGGCCCCAAAGAGGACTTTGTTTAAATCTCTGTTCCCTGTTTCGTCCAAAGGTATTGCTAGAGAAACATCTAGCAAATGGGTGTTCTTGATGGTAGAATGGCATATTTTCTGAGTTCTCAAATGGGTCAGGACTCATTGCATTATCCATGCAGGCGTCTAAATGAACACCTTGGTAAACACTCTGTGAACGGTAAAATTCGTATCTCCTGTTCTCCTGAAAACACCTGGGATACACATACTGGTCAGCAGAGTCAATCTCCATCGGTGAAGGTGCCCCCAGGAATTCTTCCTGGCTCTGCCTACCTCCGGAAGAATCTGATCTATTCCATATAATGGATGATAAAGGAGTTCTCTTTGGGCTCTGCTGGTGTCTTGGTGGTATAAACCCACTCTTGTTCTGAGTTATTGTTGGAAAATGTAAGCTTCTTGTTGTGAAATATATTGTAGCCGGTGAAGTTGATGGCTGCCTGCTGTCGAAACACAGAGAAGTACTACCGAAACTATTCTTTTGCACGTAATCTTCCGTTGAGAGTCTGGGCTCCCTTGTCCTGTACATATCATAAATTGTTTTTGTTCTAGGAGAAAAGGTTTTAAAACCTTCCCTAGGAGTTCCTGGTCTTAGGATGTCATAGATAGACATATTGGAAGCTCCATTATGGTGGTTTTGGTACCTTCCCGTGATATTTCCGTGCGTGTTCCCCCTGGAGTAAAAATGACTGCACTGTGCTCTTGATCCATAGTTGAGAGGTGCTGTGGTATTCCCTGAGCTTGGACATTGTTCCTGAGCCAGTTTATTATCCAAGTCGTCTAAAACTGAAAGGAGAATATGAGTCAGGTTTTTTTTTTTTTTTGTATGAGATTTTATAGTCTAATAATAATGAGTTTTTGAGGTCCTTCTTCAAGAAATAAAATCATTTATTATTTTTAAAAAATTTTTTTAATGTTTATTTTTGAGAGACAGAGAGAGCATGAGTAGGGGAGAGGCAGAGAGAGAGAGGAAGACACCGAATCTGAAGCAGGCTCCAGGCCGCGAGCTGTCAGCGCAGAGCCCGACGCGGGGCTCGAACCCACGAACCATGAGATCATGACCCAAGCCAAAACTGGACGCTCACCCGACTGAGCCACCCAGGCGACTCTTTATATAAATGTGGTGACATTAATTTAGATTATGTTTTTAAGAGACTGTGACTTTTACAAGGTTGTAGTAGAAGTTTCTTTTTTCATGCTTTTCCAAATCATACTTTTTCAAAACTAACCTTCCACGATGCCTTAAGAACATAAAGCTACATTTTTGTTTTCTAACCACAACATTTAAATTGTGGTGTTTTTACTTTTTAGCTCATCTTTTGTGTCACTAGGGTAGCTAAGATATTTCCCACCATGCTTACCTCAGAGGATTGCAATAAAAATGAGAGTCTATAAATAATGCGTGATTTCTTAGTTGTACTGTTAAGCAAATGGCACTACTACCAAAAGCTTATTAAGCATGTAATCTATAAACACACTTTATAAAATTTATAGGAGCACCCGGGTGGCTCAGTCGGTTAAGCGTCCGACTTTGGCTGAAGTCATGATCTCACAGTTCGTGAGTTCCAGCCCCGTGTCGGGCACTGTGCTGACAGCTCAGAGCCTGGAGCCTGCTTCAGATTCTGTGTCTCCCTTCTCTCTGCCCCTCCCCCAACTCATGCTCTAGCTCTCTAAATAAATAAATACATACATAAACAAATAAAATTTTAAAAAATTTATAAACATTCTTATTTGGATGGATTTGAGCAACATATAAAATTTAGAGTTCTATACAATATTGTTAAATGATATACTCATCATCAATTGTTTTTTTCCTGGAAAAATTAAGACCCATTATCACCCCTATAATATTGTACTTTCTATGTGTCAGGCCCAGTTCTAAACACTTAATTTATTAACTCATTAAATCCTCACATAACCTTATAAGATTGGTACTATTACTGTGCTTGTGTTATAAATGAGGAAACTGAGGCATGAACAGATTCAGTTGTTGGGGACACACAGCTAGTAAGTGGATCCAGGCAGTCAGTCTCCTGGGTCTGCACAATGCAGCGCCTGTGCCATAAAAGCTCGCTTTTCATTCTTTCTTTTAGTGAACTATAAAGATGATTTCACTATAAGCTCATAATGTTACAAGGATTTGAAGTCGCTGCCGTTAAGCAATGTTTGCTCCTGTTTCTCTCAATGGCAAGGTCAGAGGGCGGTGTGCATGTCAGAGTTCAGTGACCTCTTCATAATACAGAGGACCTAGGGCAATCCGAGCCCCAGAGATCATGCTTACAAGGACCACAGGCTCTGTGTCTTTGAATTGTGTTTATTTAATCATATTTGACCTCTTTTCCTCAATAAAAACCTCTCAGAATTTAAATAGAACCATAATCTTTTAAGGTCTCAAGATTCCCTAAGGGCCATCCTATAGTGGATATACTTTACCACATTCATGTTCCAATAAATACAAACACATAGATTATGTGTTTATTGAAGAAATGTTCATTAATGAGAATCAAAAGTTGTCTGAGAAATAAGTTATGGGATTATTTAAGCTGCTGGAGAAGTCATACCTTTCTTCCTCTGTTACATAAAATGATACATTCTCTCCTTGGTTATTTAAAATTATTTGTCATTAAAAAATTTGATTTGGGGGCACCTGGGTGGCTCAGTCAGTTAAGCATCTGACTTCGGCTCAGGTCATGATCTCACGGCTCCTGAGTTCAATACCCCCATTAGGCTCTGTGCTGACAGCTCAGAGACTGGAGCCTGCTTTGGATTCTGTGTGTCTCTCTCTCTGTCCCTCCCCGCCTCAAGAGTAAATAAATAATCATTTAAAAATTCTGATTTTTAACTCTTCAGCGACAGAGTCAGTATTTGTGAACATATGTGGGATGTATCTGTGGACACGTCAACTAGGTTAAGGCAGGTACTGAAGAGAGTTTTGATGTTCTGGATTTTCCCCACCCTATTTTATTTGTAAGCTGGTGCTATTTAAGTATGCACAGCCAGCAGAAGAACCAATCTTGAGCATTAAAGATCTATAACTAAGGAATTCTTCAGGGAATCATCCTGAAATAAAAAAATGAAGAAAGAAAATTATCTCCAGTCTCTGAAATAATTCCATATATCTACACACACAAAAATCAAACAGTGCCAAACCGTAAGGTGAGGCAAAAAGGAAACAAAACTATGTAATGAGTAAAAATCCGTCTTTAAAACAAATTATAATAAAATCTCTGATTTCTGTTCTCTGTTTCCAGCTGTTCGTAGTTTTTTTTCCCTTAAAGTCTTTTGCTGCCTACAAGGGCAACATCTATATGGTAATCACAGAAAATAGAGGAAAGTATAACAAAAGAGGTGAAATCACCTGGAATCCTCCCCAGATATAACACCTCTTAACATCCCCAGAGAAAGCTTCTAAATTGTTCGAAGCCACTTATAATCCCAAGTAATGCTGTTTTATTCATTACTCTTGAGGTAAAAAAAAAAACAAAAAAAAACAAAAAAAAAAAACAAAACTGTGTTTCCTCTTTATTTTCAGCGAAGACAAATCATTTTTTTTCATTTTGTAAACAGTAGCTCTCCTGTACTAGCAAAAGCTGTGTTTTGGAACAGAGATTTTCCTCTGGGCTTCTTTTCTCTGAAGCAAGTTCTCTGCCAGGAGCCATCTTACTGAAAGGCTGACCCCCTAGCTGGACATCCCTCACTGACCACCCCACCTGTCCCAACTACAGTGCCCTTGACTTTGCAAATTGGATTTAGTTCCTTGGGGTGAAGCTGGTGAATGACTTCAGAGTTCACTTTTAGATGCCCAGCCTTATTTTTGATACTGAATAACTTATGCAAAGAGAAGCCATGCTTGGGGCACCTGGGTGGTTCAGTCTGTGAAGCGTCTGACCTTGGCTCAGGTCATGGTCTCATGGTTCATGAGTTCAAGCCCCGCATTGGGCTCTGTGCTGATGGCTCAGAGACTGGAGCCTGCTTCAGATTCTATGTCTCCCTCTCTCTCTGCCCCTCCCCTGCTCACGCTCTCTCCCTCTCTCTCTCTTTCTCAAAAATAAATAATAAACATTAAAAACATTTTTAAAAAAGGAGCTATGCTTATATAATAATAACATTCATGTGCATGTAGTTACTTTTGGAATCTGTTTCAGTCTTTACTGTCATCTGTTCTACAAGACTAATTGTTCAACAACAGTTAGATTTCATCACTGTGCCTTTAGGTACTGATTGGGAACAATAAAAGTCTGTTAGGAACAGTATTTTATAGACATATTTCCTAAAAAGGCATTTCCTTTTACCTGAGGTTAATATTAAACATTACTCTCACTCCACAGATTTATCAGCCTTGGTCTGGGCATATTTGTTTAGATTATATTCAAATATAAGATTCTTTAATATTTGTGTTAATAGCAGATAACAGGTACACCGGGGTGGCTCTGTTGGTTGAGCATCCCACTCTTGATTTTGGCTCAGGTCATGATCTCACGGTTTGTGAGAATGAGCCCCACAATGGGCTCTGTCCTGTCAGCACACAGCCTGCTTGGGATTCTCTGTCTCCCTCGCTCTCTCTGCTCCTTCCCTACTCTTGCTCTGTCTCTCGAAAATAAATAAATAAACAAACACAAAACAATACAATAAATAGCATAACAGCCTCCTCTTCAGATAAGGTAAATAAAAGGATTTCAAAAATAAAGTACAGGGTATGATATGTTTCGAGCATTTTAATACAAACTGTAATCACTATTTGCTTTAGCGCAGGGTGTCCCAAGGCAGTTCCGTGCATAGACTTACCTTGGAAAAACTCGTTTTCCAGCAGTGAAGCATCCCAGGGAGGCATACCACTTCCCTCCCTCATGCCTGCTCGCCCGGGGACAAAGACACTGTCAACCGGTTGATTTTCCAGAGGTGAACTGTATATTTTGGCCTGCCAATTTGAAAACAGAAAATGCAAGATTATTTGTGGACCTTCCCTAGCCAGAACACGCACGTGTCTCCGCAAAAATTTCCCAAAACGTAAAGCCTAAGGACCACACATCAATTTTTCTAACACTGCTTTCTCAACGTACAGTGTTTCATTGCTTCTGTCATTTGCAAGTGATCACAAACTTCTCTGTACCTACACTAATGGTTTTTAGTATGAGTCTGCAAGCAATTATTGAGCATCTGTTTGCCAAACACTCCTACAAACTTACACAGCACCACACAAATCTTAGGGAGGTTCCTGGAAAACAGTGAAGAAATCGACCTCTTGAATTGGGAGTGTGGTCTTCATGGCCCCAGTGGCTTGAATTTTAGATTTAACACCGTCCTCAGGTCTGTCAAGAGCTGGCTACCTGAAGCTTGTAGTGGACCTTAAGATTTGTGAACTTGCACTTAGATGAAAACAAAAAGTATTTCTATCCATAGCGTTCATGCAGAATGGCAGAACCTCCCGGACAGACATAAGGCACTGATTAACGGTGCTCTCTGAATCAAAAGCGCTACAAAGTATGACCTTATAAATGGTTGGGTTTTTTTTGAAACACCATTGCTGGTTTTACAGGGTTTAGGAGGATGATGTAGAGCTAATGATGTTTTCCTTTCTTTACAGCAACTGTTTATCTTGATATATTTTAATTTTTTAAATTTTTACTTATTTTTGAAAGAGAGAGGGAGAGAACGAGTGTGGGGTAAGGGCAGAGAGAGAGGGGGACACAGAATCCAAAGCAGGCTCCAGGCTCTGAGCTGTCAGCACAGAGACCGACGCAGGGCTCGAACCCACCATGAGATCATGACCCGAGCGGAAGTCCGTCGCTTAACTGACCGAGCCACCCAGGCGCCCCCTATCTTGATTTCTCCAAATCCATCACTACCCTACATTCAAGCTTAATTTGTCTCCCTGACCTTGGGGGATTACCCCCTCCCACAGCTTCACCTTCTTTTGCCAAAACACCATTTGCATTTCCTCTGTCACACCATCTCTTCGCTGAGGACTCTGTCTGTAACTCCTTCTGCACCCGTCCCTGAACAAGGCCAGCACTTTCCATTCAGCCACTGTGGTCAGCTCACTCTGCTCCCCAGTCCTTGCTGCTTGGGTGCCTCTTCCCCCCAAGTTTTCTCTTTCCATTTGGTGTTCGCCATTATGTTTCATTTCCCTTGAATGCCCAAGACCAATCTCTAACTTTTCCAAAGCTCCAGCTTTTTTACTTCTCTATCACAGGTCTGTCCAATTCCAAACCCCAGGTTCTCCTGATTTCTATATTCCTCACAATCCAGTATTTCTACTCCTGCTAGTTTCTTCCTCAAGATCTAAATCATTATGTCTTGTAGGAGCCCTGCCCCAATTTCACTGACTTGTGATTTTCAGTTCTATGTGTAATGGAATATACACAGAGATTTATGAATAACAGAGAAACAATCCTGTGATAACTTAGGATGTAGATCATTGGATATAATTTAACACACTAATATAAAATTCAGAAGTAAACAAATACTAGAGGCAAAACAAAACTACAGTAAGATCCCATTTGGAGGTAATATAACCAGAAACTAATCACTCGTGTGGACTACATGCATCTGATTAAGAGAATGGCTGGCTTCAGTGTCTCTCAACCATTTTTAACACCCAAACAAACTCCAGATTTCCTCTCTCTAGACCAGAATACATTCCTTTTGGCCCCCTGGATCATATGCCTTTTATAATGCAAATTCGTACATAAGTGAAAAATACTTGGACTGAGGGCTCAGGAGAAAATGAACCTCTCAAAGATGGGAGGGATTATCGCCCACTAGAGACCCTGAATATAACTTCCTTTGGTCACACGTCTGCCCGAATCCTCTGCGTCAAGACCAACACTATTCGTCCAACATGTTAAGGATGTTTCCCCTACACAGAGGTACAAGTTATATGACTAAGAGAAAATACAGAGCGTTTGTTTACACTCAATTTGAACTCTGCAAGGGTATTTTTTCCAGTGACAAAATGGTTAAAAAAGTCACTCCTAGGGGCGGCTCAGTTGGTTGAGCTCGACTCTTGATTTTGGCTCAGGTCACGATCCCAGGGTCATGGGATCAAGCCCCACATCAGGCTCTTCGCTGAGCATGGAGCCTGCTTGGGATTCATATGCATTTTCTCTCTCTCTGTCTCTTTCTCTGTCTCTAATGTTAAAAAGAAAAAAGTCATGCTAGGCAATGGTAGGTACCAAACACAGAGAAGACTGAACACTATTACTGCTCTATAGATCCCTTTTATTTGAGCTGTATGTGAGTAGTATCATAATTAGTTTTTATTAGCAGCAGCAGCTGAATGGTCTAGGCAATGTGCCTAGCATTTTATACAGGTTACCTTTTTCATTATTTTAACCACCCAATGAAGTTGGTACTATTATTACGACCCTTTGAGAAAAAAGAGGTTTCAAGAGGTCAGGTCAATTGATTCAGGTCACACTGGTGGAGGGACGGATTTCTTCCCAGTCCGTGAGATTCCAGAGCCCAGGCCGAATCACCTGTCTTTACTGTTATATTAGCTTATTAGCACACTCTATCCTAGCTAGAAGCATCTTCTGAGGCCGCTGGGAAGAGGTTTCCTCTTACCTAGAACAGAGGTAAATCCCTCTGGGGCCCAGAGCACACACGGATCCTCAGTCAGGACTCCATCTTGGACTCAGAACCCTCCTCCGAACCATGTTCCGCGCCACGAAGTTGCCATAAGAGATGAAGCCTATTTTCCATTCTAGCCTAGAGGAGGAGGTTCAAAACACCTCCATGCAGCAAAATCGGGTTGAAATGCTATTCCAACCTTGAATTTCAGCCATTCCTCTCCCCAACTCTCTTCAAGGGCCCTGTGCTCCAAGTTCACTACACACAGTTCTCTAAAATGTCGTGCCCTTCGTCCTAGACCTCCACGTCTCTGCTCTTATCTCGGCCCTCTCTGCTCTTCTCTCAGAAAATGGCAATGCGCCCTTCAGTGTCCAGCTCATCTCTGTTTCTGCGAGCTCTTCTCCCTGGGAAGAATTAGTTACCATCGTGGTTTTACACCCATCGTGGTGCATATTATTATACCCATGATATCCTACTGAAGTGTTGACCTTCTTTCCACTTCTACTTTACCACTAGACCTCTCTCCTTCCTGTCTATCGCACATTTCAGTCCCCGCCCTGATCCAAGAAACCAAGCATTTGAAGACAAATGGGTTAGGACCCTGTAAGTGGACCACCTTCTAAAATAACTAGTATTCTCCTCTGTATCCTGTGCACCCAGCATAGTATCCATGTGTAAGTGACTCGCTAGTATTTACTGAGCAGAATTCCAACACCTCTCTTCCCGCCATATCTTTTCCCGTTTCTCCAACCCATTTTTGGTACAGTCATTCGATACCACCTATCTTATATTTGAGCAAAATCACCCATTTCTTCCGTTTTCAATATACTTTCAAAATATCCTCTCTCATCAGATCCTTAGAACAAATTTGCAAGTGAGGTAGGGATTATCATTCCCATTCTGCAGATGAAACACTGAATCCTGGATAAGTGCCTTACTTAAGTCATATGAATAATAACTGGTGGCACTGGCTACTCACACTCCTGTGATCTGACCCCTAACCCTGTTCTTTATGTTGCTGTTTACTGGTATTTTACTCACGTACACGATCCTTATTTAGCTGATAAACCCTGTGGATAAAAACCTTGCTTTAAGCATTCCATGCCCTCCACGTACATGCAGTTAGGGACTGATTTATGGCAGACCAAGGTGGAAAATTACACATATGAGATTTCTAGTAAAGATTACAAAAATTGAGACACCAAATATGTACAGTATTAGGACTTGGAAAAGCACATCTAAGGGAAGAAAGCCTAATGGTCAAACACATGAGTTCCACCCAGTTCAAAACCCTACTTCTGCCTCTTAATAGTGGCATAACTTTGGACAAGTTACTTAACCTTTCTCTACCTTCGCTTCTTTCTTAGTAAAATGAAGAAGTAAGAATGACGATAAGAGTAGCAGCACCCCTCCCCCACTCGTTGGGTGATGCTGACGATTATGAATTAATTGCTGTAAAACACTTTCAGGGGCGCCTGGGTGGCGCAGTCGGTTAAGCGTCCGACTTCAGCCAGGTCACGATCTCGCGGTCCGGGAGTTCGAGCCCCGCGTCAGGCTCTGGGCTGATGGCTCAGAGCCTGGAGCCTGTTTCCGATTCTGTGTCTCCCTCTCTCTCTGCCCCTCCCCCGTTCATGCTCTGTCTCTCTCTGTCCCAAAAATAAATAAACGTTGAAAAAAAAAATTAAAAAAAAAAAAAAAAAACACTTTCAAATGGTGGCCAGCACTTACCAAGTCCTCATTGTTAGTCATCACTATTTTTCTGGGGTTACAGAGGATTTCCTGGAGGATTCCTGCCAATGCTTATAGTCTAAAGAACTAGAAAAGTGTTGGGCGCCTGGGTGGCTCAGTCGGTTCAGCGACTGACTTCAGCTCAGGTCACGATCTCACGGTTTGTGGGTTCGGGCCCCCCGTCGGGCTCTGTGCTGACAGCTCGGAGCATGGAGCCTGCTTCGGGTTCTGTGTCTCCCTCTCTCCCTGCCCCTCCACCACTCATGCTCTGTCTCTCCCTGTCTCAGAAATAAATGAACATTAAAAAAAATTTTTTAAAAAAAGAACTAGAAAAGTGTTCCAAAGAATTAGACACCAGAGTCTGAAAATGCTGGCTTTTAGGATGTCTGTTACATTCTCAAACACGGTGCATAAAAGAGGCTGAGCAAAATGAGGCCTTTTACTCAACCCAATTCACTCTACTGATATTGTCTGCAATCCTGACATGATGAGACAAACAAACCTTCTGTCACAGAGTAACCTTAGACTATCTGAGAACTTCCTAGGGCGGCCAAACCTGTACAACAGCTGTCAGAGCTGAAGCCTGAGCTCAGTGATATTATCAAACGCCTTGGCAAAGCCAACAGATTAATTTTTCAGAGTGTTCCTGAATGTGTTCTCTGTTTTCTGGCAAAGGCCAAATCCACCAATGCACCTGCAGCTTAAAAGCACTCATTCATTTCTTCTTTCAATTTCTGAGTGCTCAGATTGTGCCAAGCCATGGGGAGAGACAAGAGCGCAGACATGGTCCTGGCCTTGGGGAGCTCACGCTGGCCCGGTGTGCTGAGTACGCGGGCGGTGTGTTGTTGGTGGGGGGGGGGGGGGGGGGTGGAAACAGAGGTAGCATGTCACCTAACATCAGGCCCAGCCAAAATCTGTTCAGAGACGAGAAGTGATCAAGTGGCCAAGGCTATCTGTCTTTGTCTTTTGTCTCAGAATGGTGACCACTTTGACCCCAGTATCCTCACCTATAAGGAGATGGCTCTCACTGGGGGAGATCTGCTCCCCAGAGAACACTGGCATGTTTTGGAGATATTTTTGATGCTCACACTTGAGTGGAGGAGAACTATAGGCATTCCCTACCTGTGAGTTTGAACACACGATGGCCTCGCAACAGAGAAGGACGTGGCCCAAAATGTCAGTAGTGCTGAGGTTGGGAGAAACTCTGAGCTACAAATCTCTAACCTTCTCTCTGGCTCTAAAAATTCCGTTTTTCTGAGAACCTTGGCTGCTGTTAAGCTGATGAAAATGTTTAAATAGCAGGTCTCTGGGGCGCTGGGTGGCTCAGTCAGTTAAGCATCCGACTCTTGGTTTCGGCTCAGGTCATGATCTTGCAGTTCGTGGGTTTGAGCCCCGCATCAGGCTCTGTGGTGGTGTCCCCTGCTCGCTCACGCTCTCTCTCTCTCTCAAAAATAAGTAAACATTAAAAAAATGTTTAAATAGCAGCTTTCTTTAAGTGGAAGGTCATCTAACAACGTAGCACAATCTCCTGTAAAATACCAGAATCCCCTCTGTACCCTTCCTGACAGGCTGCTAACCAAGTGATGGGAAATTTATTACCTCGGATCTTGGCAAGATCAAGCAGCAATGGCCTCAGCAGCAATGGCCAACTTGTAGCCTTTTGCAGGTGAAGGAGATAAGATTTCCATGAATAAGTAATGGAAATCTACACGTCACACAAAACCTTTGCTTTAGACAGTTTCATTATTTTCTCTCTCTGACTTCCTTTTTTAATGTGTCATTTATTTTCGAGAGAGAGAGAGAGAGAGAGAGAGAGAGAGAGGGCAAGTGGGGGAGGGGCAGAGAGAGAGAGAGAGGGAGACACAGAACAAAGCAGGCTGACAGCACGGAGCCTGATGCCAGGCTCGAACTCACCAACTGCAAGATCATGACCTGAGCTGACGGTTGGACGCTTAACCGACTGAGCCACCCAGGTGCCCCTCTCTCTCCGAATTTTTATAAAAGTTATTAATGGGAGTCAACAATCACTGGCTTCAGTTTCATTTCTTTTCCCAGGTCTTACCCTTTTAGAAGGGCATGCTTCTGAGTAGTGAAATGGTTAAATGCAAGTGGCAATCAAGAGGGCCAGCAAAAGGTAACCTATTAATCCTCAGACTGGATTGTCACGTCCTGAGAGTTCCAAATTAGCTCTACTGTTTTCAACCTCCAGGCATTTGCAATTCTTTTTCTTAAATATAATTTGTTGTCAAGTTGGCTAACATGCGGTGTATGCAATGTGCTCTTGGTTTTGGGGGTAGACTCCTGCAATTCATTGTTGAGAGTCTCTTAAGGCTTTTGCATTTGCATTTGCAATTCTTTTTGGTCCCTCGTCTGCTTCAGACCCCAATGCTCTTGAACGATAGAGGGAGGTCAGCTCTGAGTACTTCTCCAAGGAAAAGCAGGAATCCAGAGGCATGCGGGAGCAGGGCTCGAGACATGACCCTTCGGTCCCCTGCTCAGTTAAAGGACAGTCTACCGGTGGTGAGCAACCCTGTGATCATAAGCAAGCAGGGCTTCCGGGCTGACAGAACCCCAGGCATTACTGACTTCTGCCTGTGGACTCCCAGAAACCCAGATCTTCTAACCTCGACTCTACCATTCACCAGGGACCTTGAACATGATCTTCAAGTTCTATGAACCTCAGTTTCTTTCTTCATCTTTCAAATGGGGATAATAATAGTCTACTTTACAGATTTTCTCTGGGGATCAAGTGAAATGATCTACATCAGGTGCCTGGGTGATGGGAGCTTCGCAAAGAGAGGGAAGCAGTTATTGGTGCTGGTCATCTGGCCGGGGCTCAAGCATGTAGAGGAGACAGGGCTCGTGTTGTTCACAAAGAGGTGGCATTAGGCTGAAGAAGAAAGGGGACTCTCTTTTAAAAGTTTCTGAAATAAAGAAGCCCTGTTTATAGGTACTCCTCACTAGAATTCTACCATGCTTTCTGGGAAAAAAAAAAAAAGGCGAGGCACAGGGAGAGAGCGAGAGAAATGTGGGCACTGGTACTAGGACCGCAATAAATTGAAAACTGCCTCTATCCTCCTCCTGCACTCTTGGGGCCTTTCCAACATTCTCTTTCATCGCCCGAACACATGAGTCACACAGAAAGACACAGGCACGTGAAGATCAAAAGTTAAGACCATGAAAAAGCGAGACACAAAGACTTACAGCTTCTCCATCTTGCAAGCATGTGAACAGATAAACTGAAGTCTAAGCCCTTGGTGGAGGGTTATGTTGGGTCAGTTCCCCCACGTGAACTTGCTCCAGCCAATCCTCGCTTCCACTCTGAACACAAATGATGTTGTAAGGGTGGCAGTGAATGCCTCTCACGTCTTCCTCTGCCCAGTGCTTTAGGGATATACAGGGGTGGCCCGTGGGAGAGTGTCAGAGATGCCGCTGAGGGGGTGAGTGGTACACGATGACCTCAGTCCTGGAAACCACCACAGTTGGGAAACTTTAAACTCCCTAGGAGAAATCTAAGACGTCTAAGGTCAATGTAAAACTGAACCAAGGAGAAGCCTATTTACGTAGGTGGCCAATGAGGGGGCTCATTAAAGCACAATTCCTGAGCGTAGCGTTTCGCTTCTGGTTACTCACCGTAGCGGTTCGCCTCACAGACACGGAAGGTCCTGCATGGCTGTCACATCTGTGGAAAAAATGTGAAATGATTTCTTTGAACAAGTGCCTCGCTTTCACCAGGAGGACAATCAATCAACGGTACCTCTGCCGTGATATCTTGGTATCTTGAGAAGATATATTTCTAACATCCTTTAGGGAGACACTTCTTGGCTAATGCTTGTTGAAAACATTTCAGAAACTTTTTCCTATGATTGTTTAGGCTCAATGTTTTACATCTTCATATGTCAGGCAGCCAAGAAGAAATTACCTAATACTGGATTTGGATTGGAACGCAGCATAAAGACATAAAAACAAAAATAGTTACACGTGTCGAGCGCTTACTATCAGTGTTCTCGTGCTCTACGCGCATGTTATCTCATTTTAATACGTCACTCTTCGGAAGGGGATACTATGACTGCTGTCATTTTACAGAGAAGTCAGAAGACACTGCCTGATTTTCACAGTTAGTGATGGGTTTAGAGCCGGCCACAGGCTCATTAAATCCTGAGCACTCCTTCTTAAGTAAGGCACATGGACTCTTCTCGCAAATGGGAAATAGATTTCCGTACATTTTTATTTTAAAGAGGGTCTGGGCCAGACACAACAATTCACAAGGGAATCTTTAGAAAGCAAGCCTTGTAAAGGTGGCTTCTGGATGTTTGTTTTTATAAAGATGCCTTATTTGGGGCGCCTGGTTGGCTCAGTCAGTTGCACGTTTGACTTTGGCTCAGGTCATGATCTCAGAGTTTGTGGGTTCGAGCCTGGCTTCAGTCTCTGTGCTGACAGCTCAGGGTCTGGAGCCTGCTTCAGATTCTGTGTCTCCCTCTCTCTCTGCCCTCCCCCACTCGTGCTACATGTCTCTCTTTCAAAAATGAATGAACATTTAAAAGAAAAAGGTGCCTTATTTGCTATGAAGCCATCTTGGAAAATAATTATGCTTTTACCGTTTATGTTGCTTCACTCAAATTCAGTAGGTAAAAAATTTACAAGACATGGGTCCCAAACTGAGATCGATTTTAATCTTTTAGATCCATAATCCTGTGCCAAGCAGCGCTCTGCCTGAATTACAGCTCAAGATTTAACAGACGGCAATGATTCACTGCTCTGTACAAGATGAGGTCCTGTCCTCCCCCAAGAGAACAGCAAAGGGAATCAACAATTAAACAAACAAACTGGGACTTCAGTTCAGATCAGTCAAAACTGGCAAGATGCAGTTTTCTTTTATCTGAACTCCTAGCTGCTTCGTGGTTCCCCAGAGTTGGGCATAAAATCTGGGAGGCCAAACAATGTTTATATGTTAAAGATATCCAAATCAAACAGTAGGAAAGAGTAGATACACAAAGAGAAGAAATACAGTTGAACTGGTATGAAAGGTGGAAAACAGCAGGAGGAAGGGCCCAGAGATGGGAAGGAGCCAGGCCGCTTGGGAACTGGAAAGTAATTCAATCTGCCGGAGCCAAGAGAACATACCAGATTGTGAAGACCCTTCCCAGAGCCCTGGGGGCCGCAGTGCCCACAGAGCACCCACGCAGCTCACCAGCCGGGGCAGGGATATTGTCCCCAAGGAGGGCAGGAGGGAGGACGACGTGACCCATAGGATAGCAGGAGCATGACTGGGATGGAGAGCCTCCGAGGGTGAGGGCGAGCTGTGCGCGGGGCGGGGTGTGGGGAGGGGATGCGTGCCCTTCCCCCCGCCCCTCCCCTAATGGTGTGCAAGGCCGAGTGTGGGTGACCTTGTGGATTTGCTGGCCGGGCACAGGACTCAAGTGGCTTGGAGGCACAGAGTCTCTGCACCCACTCCCAGACCCTCCTAAAGGTGAATTCATGTTTCTGATGTGAACAGCTCTCCCTGGCAGAGCGAATAAAAGCAGCAGTGGGGGGGCACCTGGGTGGCTCAGTCGGTGGGGCGCCCGACTTTGGCTCAGGTCATGATCTCACGGTCCGTGAGTTCGAGCCCCATGTCGGGCTCTATGCTGACAGCTCGGAGCCTGGAGCCCGCTTCGGATTCTGTGTCTCCCTCTCTCTCTCCCCTCCCCCGTTCATGCTCTGTCTCTCTCTGTCTCAAAAAAATAAGTAAACGTTAAAAAAAAATTTTTTTTTTTTAAATAAAAAATGAAAGCAGCAGTGGGGTCACTGGAAGCAAGGCTGGTAAGAGTCCACGGACCCGGCGACTTCATGGGACACATGGCTACCTCATCTTCTGCCTTTGCTTGCAAGCCCTCCTGATGCCCTATCTTCAAGATCTCTCACATCCAACCCCACGTCTCTAGCTCACTCACTCTGCCAACAAAACTTCTGTCATTTCTCTCCTGGACTCTTCTCCATCCTTCACACTACCCACAGAGATCTGTCTAAAACGCAAATGTGATCATATCAATCCCCTGCTTAACATCTTACAAGGTGTTATCCAAAATCTTCACTTGACACAAGACTCTTTTATCTGATGAGCCTCCTAGACCACCCCTCACCTTTCAAGCCTGGAGTGCCCCGCACTCCAGTCATCTGTAGGTACCTGTATGCTAGGCTTACCGAATTTATTTCACTTCCATAAAATCTTCTCTTATCTCTATACCTTTGCAGATACCATTCAGAAATTCTCACTCAGTAGATTAGAGTGTGGCCCAAGAATATTCTTTTTAAAGGGACACCTGCGTGTCTTAGCCAGTTGGTTAAGCATCCAAGTCTTGATTTTGGCTTAGGTCATGATCCCAGGGTCATGAGATCGAGCCCCACATGTTGGGCTCTGCACTGAGTGGGGAGCCTGCTTGGGATTCTTTCTCTGTCCCTGTCCCTCTGCCCCTCTCCTGCTCTCTCTCTCTCTCTCTCTCTCTCTCTCTCCCTCTCAAAAACAAACAAGGAATATTCTTTTTAAAAACCAGAACCCCAGGTGACTTCCTCCAAATACTGATGGAACACGTTCTAAGCATTGGCCATGGAAGAACTCCATCTGGATGACCATGGGCAAGTCAGACCCTCATGTCCAAAATGGACTTCGTGTCCTCCTGCATGACCACTCCTTCCCATCCAATCAACCAACAGATCCTGTTGATTCAAACTCAGAAATCCCTTTCAAAACCACCCAGAGCTCTACATCCCCCCATTTGTACCCCACGCAAGACATTTATCATCTGCTTTGTTTCTGCCCTAGTCCTTTTCTTGTCCCTCTCCCTCCAAGTTTTGTTCCAATCCAGTCCATTCTCCATACTTCAGCCAGAGTGATCAGGACAAAGTGCATCACACTACTTCCCTGTTGAACATTTTACATGATTTTTATTTGCTCCCAGGTGAAAGTTCAAATTCTTCTCTGCATTCGTAAGGCCCTATACCATCTAGTCCCCACACACTTCCCAGCCTCGTCTCTCACCTTTGCATATCCCTCTGCCATGAGGAATCAGCACACCTCTGAGCATGTGCACAGAGTTTGCCCAAAACATTTTTCTACCACCTGTTTGCCCGGATAACCCTTGTCCTTGAACATTTTCCCTGGAAGAGCGTTCCAGGCTCAAGACAGTCTAACAAACACTCCATACGTGCTCCCAGAGCATGTGGAACTGCCCCCCATCTTAGCACTATTATGTTTCTCTATTTCCTTTTTGTTGTCCTCACAAGACCAAAACCGGGGAAACCAAGGGCTGTAAGCTTTGCTCCTCAGAGCCATGAGCGGTATTCCTTGAGCCCTCTTCGTTGAAGAAATCAGCAAATGTGTTCATTTTTATCCTCATATCTGCCCCTCCTCTTATATTTCTTCCCCACCAACCGACAGCTTCCTAAGTCAGAGAGGAGAGTTCATCTCCATTCTTCCTTCATCTTCACCCGACACATCCAATTACCAGGTTCTCATGATTCCACAGTCTAAATCCGTGCATGAATCCGTCTGCCTTTTGCTCTCCTCTGGCCTGCCTCCTTAGTTCAGGCTGCCACTATCTCAGCGCTACCTTACGTGGTCTGACTCGAGCTTTGTCCCCTCAAGTCTGTTCTTGGGGCCGCACCTGGGTCACTTTCCCAGCCTTGGCTCTACTGGTATTTCTTTGGGGATACTTAGCAACATTTCTGACCCCTACCTACGAGACACCCTAAGTTCTCACCCTTCAGTTGCGAAAAGCAGAAATGGCTTCGGACATTGCCAAATGTCTTTTGTGGGGCAAAATTGCCCCTGGTTGAGAAGCGCTGAGCTGAAGTGATCTTTCTAAAGTGACGATCTGATTATGTCATTCCTCTGTTTAACAGCTATCAATGGGTAAAATACACATGTGTACCTGCACACCTGCATGGAATACACCAAAATATTTTAGTGTTTGTCCAGGTCAGTAGGTCGCGGGTGACTTTATATATATGAAATCTATATACACATATATATGAAAAATGCCATTACTAGCAAAAGTGATTAATGGCTTCCCACTGTCTACAGGGTCAAGTCCAAGCTTCTTAGCCCTGCACATCCTTAGCACTGCTGGGTCCTGTGTTCTGGCCTCTACCGGCCTCTCACTCCACCTCTCACGGGTCTTACCTTATACCAGGGCACTGAACCTCAACCACCTACATGAGTTTCTACTTTGTCCAGTCTCTACACCTTGGCTGTGTCAGTCTTTCTGCCCAGTGCAACCTCCCGACTCTTAATTACCTAGCTCAGTCCTATATGTCCTTTCACAATTGGCTCTCCTCTTGCAGGAAGGCTTCTGGTCCTCCAGTCTGAGTTAAGCGCTTCTCCTACACGATCTCACGGCAGGAATACCACGCACCTTCCCTAGCACTCACCATATTGCACCGGCACCTCTGGTGACTCGGCTGCCACCCAGGCTGCAGTTAGGCTGGACGGTATCCCCGTGTGAACTCCACAGGGCATCCCTTTCTCAAGATACTTACAGTCATTTTCCAGAAAACTGCCGTGGGAAAGACATGAGCCCACGATGTGCCACCATGTCCCAGAGTTCTGTGCCGCCCCTCACACCCAACCCCATGCAGGATTCTGGCGTCCCCTCCTAGCCTGAAGTTCTCCGGGCAGGGACTTTGCCTTAGTTTCACAATTTT